CAGATATACCCCTGGTTCTGCTTATTCTTCTGGGCACCTGCTAGTTGCAGGCCCCTTTCCACTGCCTACTCTCCCCTCGCACCTGCCAGAGAAAAAGAGGGCCTGGCAGGAGCCATAGCCACAGGCATCTAAGGTGAGCCCCATGCAGGCAGGTGTTCTGTACTGTAGCCTCTGTCGAGAAATACCCTGATGGGCTGCCAACCCCCATCTTGTCCCCAGTGCCTCCAAGAGGAGAACTGGAAGGTTTTGTTTTTCTTCTTAGTGTTTTTTAGTTATATAAGCGATGGGTTTCATTATGGCATTTGTTCCCATATATATCATTTATTTTATTCTTATTTGCTTTCCTGTCTTCACCTGACCTCATCTCCTCAAAGGGACTTCTTGGGACTTTCTACTTCAGAGTCTCCACCAGGAGAGACAGGGAAGAAGGGCGGTGAGGGGTGGGATTGAGTGGGGACACATGTAATCCTGAGCCCTGACCCAAACTTACAGATGTCAGGGTTGCAGTGTGTGCATTGTGGCCAGGGCTTGTTCTTGGACCTGTCTGTTCAGAACTTCCTGGAGACTGACAAGTGCATGTAGGGACACTCTTCTCCCATGCTTTCCTCTAGTGCCCAGCCTGTGTAGGTGGCGGGGGTGAGGCCCAGCCTGTGTAGGAGGCGGGTGAGGATACAGACTGGGTAGGGAATGGATGGAAACTGTCAGGCGCGTGTACCTGGCTGGGATGGGGCAATGGGAGAGAGACCGGCTGAGTGGAGGCCTGGAGGAAGGAGGACTGCAATCACCGGGCTCCCTTTGCTTTGTGACCTTTGTGGTTCTTTGTCCCAGCAGTTCCTGGAGAGGAGCGGGACACACAGTGGGGGGTGCAAGGGACAGCTGTTTACCACTTCCCAACAGAAACCAGGCCTTAAAGTCCTCCAACCCCAGCAGAAAGACCGTGCTCAGAAGGCCATGTCTTCTGGGAGGACCCCCTCCCCACTCCGTCTCAGGGAAGTGAGGGGCCTCTGTGGCTGGCACTTAGATGAGGTCTTCTGGTTTTCTTTTTCTCTCAAACATGGTGATGGACTCAGGGGATGCCTCGGAGAAGGTAACCAGGGAGCAGATCAGTTTGCTGTGTAAACTCACTGGTTAAAGCACCCCTCACCTACCCACACCATCTCAAAGAGCTCTCTCTGTTAAGCTCCAGGCAGTGTGTGATGTAGTTCGCAGACTGTACCTTCCCAGCTCTCTGAGTAGACTGTTAGCCCCACTTCACAACCGGGGAGCTCATAACTTAGAAGGGGAAAAGTTTGACGGCTGGCCTGGGCCCGAAGCTCTGTAATAACATTGCTCCCCACCACCTTCCAGGGCGGGGATGGGGAAAGGGTCTCAACTTGCATGGGAAGGAGGTGGGAGGTCGGCCAATTACTCTATGTTCATACAATTTTCCTCCCAACCTATGTCCTCTCTGAAGCCAGGGGTTGGCTTGGAAAGCTTTTTAGACACTGTAACAGATGGCATCTCACTTAGGGTGTCCCCTGTTGACAGGGTCTGGCTCCAGCCATGACTACTATATCTGCCCAGGGACCAGCCTGCCTGCTCTGATCCTGCAGCTTTCCTCTTTCTCCATGCCTGGTCCTCTGAGTGCTGCCAGGCACTGGCCTCTGGGGCAGCAGCTGACATGAAGGGCAGGCTTCCCATGCTCTGGCTGGCAGATTCTTGGCCCTGGGATAGCCTGGGAGTATTCTGACTGCACAGTTCTAACTACTGCAACAGCCAGAGCGGGCCGACATGGGCACACCAATGCTCTTTCATGTGAATCTCCCTGAGAATGCAGCTGCTTTGTGAGAACCCTTGGACTTTGGAGGCCTTACCAGGTGGTTTTGGCAGATGCAGTATAGGGATGAACTTTGCTCTTCCAGCTTCTGAGTCAGAGGGTAAAGACTTGGTAGCAACTGATAACTAAACAAAGATACCTGCTGGCTTAATTTGGGGAGGTGGGGGGCGGCGGGGGGGACGACAATGTGCCTTCTGGAAGGCTTCTCTAGTGCGTTTCTGGCTTAGCTAGGCAGACCAGGTAATGTGGGGGCTTTAAGTTCAGCTACTCCAAAGGCTAAGGTAGGAGTATCCTAAATTCAAGATCAGCCTGTTGGCCTGAGACATTGCCTCAAAACTATGAAACAAGCCTAGCATTGGTGGTGCATGCCTGCCTTTAATCCCAGCACTCGGGAGGCAGAGGCAGGTGGACTTCTGTGAGTTTGAGCCCAGCCTGGTCTACAGAGTTCCAGGACAGCTGGGGCTACACAGTGAAACCCTGTCTTGAGAAAAAACAAGAACAAAACCATAAAACAAAGAGAAGGCTGAGGACAGAGCTTAGCAGTACAGACTTCCCTCTCAAATATGAAGTCCTGGTTTCCATCCTGTACTGAAAAAAGAAAGAAAGCGATGAGGAAAGTGGGGGGAAGGAGAGGGAAGGCTGGCTCTAGGCCAGGGTTGTCAAAATAGTCCATAGGCCAATGCAGCCTGCTGTTTGTTTTTATTGACAAAACTTTATTGGCACACACTGGTTATGTATCATCTAGGCTGTTTTCACACAATCGTAGAGGCCATATGGCCTGCAAATTCTAAAATATTTTCCCTCTGGTCTTTTACATAAACAGTTGACAGACCCTTGCTCTAGCTGACCAAATAGCTAAGATCTTGTTTCTTGAGGTTCAGGTTCAGAGAGGCTTTTGCAGTAAGTGGACGAACCTGGTCTAGCTAAGTAGTGTGATGGTGCCTAGGGTGGCTGGGAACCCCTCACTGAGCTCAAGTGAAGCAAAGCTATTCCCTGACCCTCTGTTCTCTCTTCTCCACACTGTCTGCTTCAGCTCTGCCCCACCATGGCCAACAAGGGCCCATCCTATGGCATGAGCCGTGAAGTGCAGTCCAAAATCGAGAAGAAGTATGACGAGGAGTTGGAGGAGCGACTGGTGGAGTGGATTGTAATGCAGGTTGGCCCTGATGTGGGCCGCCCAGATCGTGGGCGTCTGGGCTTCCAAGTGTGGCTAAAGAATGGCATGGTGAGTGGCACCCTGTGATGGGGGTCTGGGGATGTGTGTGCCACCCTGCAAGCTGTGGGGCAGACCCCCTGAGCCGAGTGTCCAGCTGTGTTCTGTGCCCGGCAGATCTTGAGCAAGCTGGTGAACAGCCTGTATCCTGACGGATCCAAGCCAGTGAAGGTGCCTGAGAATCCACCTTCCATGGTCTTCAAACAGATGGAGCAGGTAGCTCAATTCTTGAAGGCAGCTGAGGACTATGGAGTCACCAAGACTGACATGTTCCAGACTGTTGACCTCTTTGAAGGTACAGAGGAAAAGGGCTGGAGCCAGTGGGCCACTGGAGAGCAAGATTCTCAGGCAGGGAGAGGGAATATTAAAAGATGCCACAACCAGCTCTGTTGGTGTGCGCATAGCTGGAACAGTATGTGCCGAGAGCACGTAACAGGCAGACCAGCTCAGTGGTCCAGCATTTTCTAGTATGTACCATGGCCTGTGCTGGATCCTAGAACCATACACATATAGAAAATATACCACGCCACACTCAAAAGGGTTTAGTGTAGGGTCTCCTGAAACCTCTTTGGATCTGGGGATACTTGCTCTTGGTTTGACCATTTTTGAGTCAGGGGCAGACCTTGCCTATATGGTCCTGAAGTTGGTTTCCTGGCCACTCTTCTCATAGGCAAAGACATGGCAGCAGTGCAGAGGACTCTAATGGCATTGGGCAGCTTGGCTGTGACCAAGAACGACGGACACTACCGTGGAGATCCCAACTGGTTTATGAAGTATGTGGCCACTGGGTCCCTGTTCCCAAGCTTGGGTCTCTTTGTGAGGTGGGGTGGCTTGGGCTGGTCAGCCACGGTAAAGATCAGGTGTAGCAGAGCCAGGAAGGCCCCAAGTAAGGCCTTGGACTGGGGGAAACGGGGCCTCACTTCTGGACTCATGCCTTTTACCAGCATGTGCTCCAGCAGGCTCCCTAACTCCTGGGATCAGCCAAACTCAGGAAAGAAAGAGAAGACCAATAGGAAGGGAATGGGCTCAACAAGGAAGCAACAGGGATCAGAAAACAGTTGGAGAACTCGACGTCCTTGGAAGTCTGATCCTGTTCCTCTTCTTTTAGGAAAGCCCAGGAGCACAAGAGGGAGTTCACAGAGAGTCAACTGCAGGAGGGGAAGCACGTTATTGGCCTCCAGATGGGCAGCAACAGGGGGGCCTCACAGGCTGGCATGACAGGCTATGGACGACCCCGGCAGATCATCAGTTAGAAGAGGAAGGCCAGCTCTGAGTCTGCCTTTCCCAGATACCTGGCTGCAGTGTCCTGCTTAGCCTGCCTCACCCACGCCTATGTAGGTTCTTAGTCCGGACAGCTCCGAGGCTGTCGCTGGGCAAAGATGACTGCACATGGGCAGCCCCACCTATCCCCAGCCTCAGCCCAGCTTCTAACCCCAGAGCCACCACCCCTGGCCCTGTTCCCAGCTGCACCCCCACCTCTACTGTCTCTCCCATCCTGGAGTAGGCAGGGAGAAGTGGGCTGGGGTAGCCTGGGGGTCAGCCAGCCCACTGTCCTTGGTAGCAAATGCCCTTTGAAGGAGACCCAGCCCAGCCTCTCCATCATTTCCTGGAATATTTTTTGGGTTGAAATTCAAAAAGGAAAAATATATATATACATCCATCTTTTCTCAGGCCTGGCTGGCAGTCTGATTCGTTTAGTTACCCCTCTTACTATTCCAGAAGCCCTGAGCAGGGGGCGGGGGGCACCCGGGGCTCATGGGTTCCTGGCCACTGTCTTCTGGATGACTTTTCAGGCCCCACAGACCCAGAGTTTCGGAGGAAGTGGGCTGTGGGGAACAGGAGTGATCTGCCACCTGCAATAGCTTTGGGAGGCAGAAGGGAGGAAAAGTGGGAAGTGGTGGAATTGTTTGGATTTTTATACTTCTGGTTTTTATTTTGGAAAAGCTGTGCAGAAAAAAATTCAACAAAATGTTGCTGTGAAAAGTAAAAATCAAATCTTAAGCATTAAAAAATTCAGATTAACAATCAGCTCAGAAGATGGGAAGGGGAGAAGGCCAAGAATGGAGGAAAAGTCAGGCAGACAGCTGGCCTTGGAAATGAAGGCTATTTCCCTGAGCACTTTGCAGAGGAAGACAGGGTGGTCACAGGCAGTGGCTCCCAAGCTGTCTTTGACATTAGTGTCTCAGCTCTCTGTAGTCCTACCAGACAACTTCCCCAATGAGGCAGCAGGGGTGCTGGGAATCACATGCCTCCCAGTCTCCCAGGAGCTTCACCTTCAGCAGGAAGGGAGAGTGGTGGTGGAGGATGGGGCAGGTTTGAGGTTGGCTTTGGACCAGATGCAGAGCAAAGGGTAATGGAGGCAGCTGCTTTTGAGCTAGGCATGCCCAGGCTTTTGCCAGCCTTTCCTCTGGGCCCTCTGTACAATGACACTTCTGTTGAGAGCGTTCTTGGGTACACAGGCATCTGCATAACTCATGAATGGGTGGAGGTCTTGGTGGCCTAGATCACTGACCAGCCTCAGAGGGGTGAGACCAAGGGCTGCCTGGTGTAGGTGCCAATCCCTTGTCCAAGGCTTATCAGCAAAGCTCAGCTAGAGGAACCTATGATCACCAGTCTTCTACCACTGCTCTTAAGATGGCCCTCATCCTCCTGAGGGTACCAAGAATGCTTCAGAGGCCTTGGCTTCCAGATGTCACTAAAATCAGGACCATTTTCTCTCCTGAGCATCCATGATTGGAAGCCTCATCACCAATTTGAGAAAGAGCCTGTTGCACATGGAGGACTCTGGGCCCTGGGGTCAGCAGATCTGTCCATCCTTCACCTGTAGCAGGTCTGGGGGTTGGTGCTGAGGACGGTCCAGGAGACTCTTACCACTCTGGGACAGATTCCAGTCTCCTTCACTGAGTAGCTCTGGGGCCAGGAAGCTAGAGGTGGTGGTACAGCCCCCATTCTCTGACTCCACTCCACCCTGGTCCTTGCTGTTGCATAGAGGCATTGATTCTAGCTCTGTCCCCACCTCCCTGGAGTTCTGGCTCCGCTGGGGCCAGGAGCAATGTCCGCTCCTACAACCTTGGGTGGAAGCCATGTTCCTCTGGCTCAAGTATACTTCTAGCATGTAATAAATGGTCCAGAAGACAGTGAAGCAGCCCACCAGCACCAGGGTCTAGGGAAAAGACAAACACAGACAGTGTTAGTGACAGTCTCTAGCCCAGAAGCGTGAGCCTGGGGAGTCTTTCCCTTCTGGGGACCACCTTCCCAACCCAACCATTGCCATAGCCTTCCTCACATACAAGGAGGGAGCTAATAGGCTAGAAGTGATGCTAGGGACCCATGTCCTCCATATGTCTCATTCCCCAGTTCACCTGGATTAATACCAAGGACCAAATCTCCCAGGGACCAAATCTCCCAGGACAGTCCTGTCAGCTACAGCTGGAGTTCTGGTCTCTGTACCTTGAGTGTGTTAGGGGTAATGGTGTAACCATCCTCCTCAGGAATTTTCAGCCCAGGCGGGCAAGGCAGAGTGAAGTCATCATGCAGGTATTTCCCACTCATAGCACTTTCTAACAGACTATAGGAAAGAAAAGACAAGAACACACTACTAACATGGCACCTATACTATCTGCCCTCTATCTTGCAGCTGAAGAGGGAGGGAAGCCCTAAAGCAGAGAGGGCAGAAGTACCCCGGGTTCCTAGTCCATGACCGCTGGCATTGGCCTAAGCGTGAAGCACAGCTGGGGTTCAGAAGGTTGGGCTCCCTCAGTGGCACCTCCTGCCCACCCCACAAGAGCTGTCTCCCTCTCTCTCCTGATGGATGTAGCCAAACCTACCTTTGTCTGTCCTTGATGTCTACTGGACTCCACATGGAGCCATACAGGGTCAGCTGCCAGTGCTGGAGGATGCCCATCTGGAGCGGCTCATCTCCTAGGGCAGTAAGTGGATAGCCTTGAGCTGTGGACTGTTGGCCAAGTAGAACAGCAGAGCCTGGCCCACCCAGCCACCCAAGGAGACTCAGACCACACAGTCTGCTATAGTTTGTGTCCCACAGACCCCAAGGGTCCTGCGGAAGTACCTCATAGGGCATTTTAGGGACAGAACAGAAAGGTTGAAGGCATACGGGAAGCAGTGTTTTGCCTTTGCCTCCCATACTCTGGGGTTTCATTTGGGATTTTCCTTCAAAGGAAAAAATGTCCTTCTATCAAATTCAAGGTTTAAAAGCTGCCAATCAAGGGAATACCCAACCTGACTGGAAGCTGGAAAGGCAGGTTCCATTGCCAGTCTCCATGCGATACTGCAGATAGTCAGTAGTCTTGCTATTGTGACCTTCACTGCTACCATGATCCTATATAAGTCACTTCAAGCCTAAGGACCTCAGCTTTTCTAAAAAGCAAAATGGTGAAAATTTGTCCTGCCCTTACCTGCCTATCAGGGCTGGCCGAAGGACGGTTATATGTGAAAGGGCTTGAAATGTGGTTTCAACAAGGAATATTTGTTGCTATCCTGAGGAAAAATGGATCAGTCACTTCTCCAAGGAATATAGAGGCAGTATAAATGAGCATTTAGGGACAATGCCTACTTTCAGGATAGGACATACTTCTTGGCATGTACCACCTTTACCAACAGCAACCCTACCTATTACCCACGGAACACTTCCTGTGGGGAGAGTGAGACTCGAGGGGACCAGGTAGGTAGTATAAGACAGGAAGGCTCACCTACATCCCTGATAGTCAGTCTGTAGATGCCTCGTGCTCTTTCCCCCCAGCACCGCACAGTGGAGAAGGTCCAGTCATTGAAGCCATTAGGATCCCTGGGAAAGAGCAAAGCAGAACACATGGATGGCCTGGCATGGACAGTGACCCTTATCCCAGGAACACGGAAGGAACTATAAGCATTTGGGAGGGTGCCATCCCACTCTTGGGATCTCGGGGTGTGAGGAACTTGTGTCCTTGTGTGTAGTAAAGGACAACATGGAGAAAGCACGGGCCTGGAAACCCCACAGATCTGTTTCTTTCTTTCTCTTTTAGACAGGGCTTGCTATAAAGCCCTAGCTGCTCTTGAACTCTTTCCTTTTCCACCTTTGCAACTTGGGTGCTGGGGTTATGGTGTGTGCTGTTCCTTTTCCGCCTTGCTAGCTAGCCATTGGGCCCAGCATGCTGAACAAATGTGTACAAGGAAGCCATACCTTCAGCTGTTGGCTTTTGAAACTGGGTCTTTCTAGACAGACCAGGCTCATGTCAAACTCATCATCCTCCTGTCTTATCAGCCTCCCCAGTGCTAGAACTATAGCTACCATCCTACTACACTTTGCTTTCCAAAGGATTAGGGGAATGCATGCAGAATATAATGCCAAGTATGTTATAAACACTTGAATAAAACATGGTGCATGGTTTCCAGCTGCTAAGGACAAGTGGTGCAGTTTCTTAGGACAGTGTCAGCATTTTCTCGAGAAAGCCCTTATTATGAAGAGAGGTCAGGAGGCTATGGGCAGGTGTACATACGAGTCCATGCTGCGGGGTGCGCCGATCAAAGACATCATGCCACTGGGACAAAAGAGTTTCAGTTCTAAGCTGCCACGTCGTGGGTGAGTGATGGAGACTGTCACTGCCACATGTTCCAGGGTCTTCAGCCCCGACATCTCCAGGTCCATCCTGCTGACTGTAGGAAGTCAGGCTTGGCAGCTGGGAAACCAGCCCATAAACACTTACGCCCTCATTTCATCCCAACATATACAAAGGTACACATGTACTGAATTCACATACAAACATCTTTGGCACAATGTAGACTACCAAATGGAATGCAATGCTGCAGTCAAGTTCCCATCTAGCTTAGGGTCTAGCTAGGGAGACAATGAGGCCAAGATGATGTAAGAACCCCATCATTCATTCATCCAAAACCCATTCACTATGCACCTCCCACATTTCAGGTACAGTACGAGATGTAAGAAATACAAAGAGAAGTGTGTATAGTTCCTACCTTTATCTGCAAATAGAAAATGATATATGATATACATAATTGATATGGGGCATATTAGATAGCAGTGAGATATGCTGAATAAAGAAATCAACAAATCAACTCAGACTAGCAGAGGACATTCTAGAAGGGGAAATGGCACTAAAAAGATAGAGGTAAACAAACAATTCTCATATATGGAAGACAATACAATATTAATTAATTTATAAGCTACAAGACTGGATATACTTCAAAGAAGTTATGCAGAATGAAAAAGCTAATCTCAAAAGGACTTTACAATTACACTTGTATGACTTTCTCTAAGTAACACACCTGTAGAGTTAGAGAACAATGTTGTTCTCAGCTGTCAGGGATGGGAAAGGGGTAGCACAAAGGAGTCCTGTGATAGCACACTTCAGATCCTGACTGTGGTAGTGGTTACAAAAGTACACACATGATCGATCACAGAGCTACACAGACAGACAGACACACACACACAGATGCTGAATGCATGCAAAACTGGTAAAACTGATCATGTGCCAATATCAGGATTGTGCCAATATCAGGTTCTTGGCCTTGATACTGTCTTATAATTATATGACATTAACACTGGGAAAAGGTACATGAGATTTACTTGCTCATTATTTTGCAACTTTCTATAATTATTTCAACTAACAAACTGGGAGACTCAACTGGGGACTAGGAAATTAGACTGCAGTGAGATATAATCCTTCCTAAAGTATCCCTTCTCGCATTAATTTTTCCCAACACATAAGACAAAGAGTGACACCTTAATTTTACAGATAAGGAAGACAAAGAAGTATGGGAAACAGAAGCTAAGATGAGAAGGGCTTTACTTTTTTTTTTTTTTTTTTTCAGTTTCCGGGCTTTACTTTTTTTTTTTTTTTTTCAGTTTCCGCCTGTCCTGGAACTTGCTCTGTAGACCAGACTGGCCTCGAACTCAGAGATCCGCCTGCCTCAGCCTACTGAGTGCTGGGATTAAAGGCATGAGCCACCATGCCCAGTGGAGTGTCATTTCTTGTTCATCACTAAGAAACTGATGTCTACAGGAACCATCTTCCCAAGGTCATAACTTACTTTTCTCCACCCCATGTCGCCCAGCTACATCTAAGACCATGCCCCAGGCTGGTTAACTTCAGCATGGTTTAGTAACTGCCATTATGGGTTGCTTATTACAGAAGCAATATAAATTAGTCAACAGTATGTTAGAAAAGGAGATGAACAAAAGTAAAAATGAAAGGCCCCCATACTCCTGTAAGGCACTGGTTACTACCTACCTTGCCTCTCTGGGTACGTAGGCACAAGTGTGTTTTCATAAATTTCATCTGTCCTACTGTGTCTGAAAATGGCCCTTCCATTCCTATTTCCTGGCTCTCTAATATCTTACAGCTCTTCTCACCAACACTCTGTTTACATCTCTAGTCCCCTTTGCTTTCTTGTCCTTTTCATACAATCTTTGGCAAGAGTCAAACACCAGCCCAGTTATTCATCTCCTTGGCTGCATCTCTGTGCTTATATCTTTCCTACTACAACAAAAACCAAACATGCATAAGCCCTTTTTCCACTCTTCACTTCCCTCTGCCTACTAGTCAAAAGCATGGGCTCAGGGGCTGGAGAGATGGCTCAGTGGTTAAGAGCGCTGGTTACTCTTCAAGAAGACCTGGATTTAATTCTCAGCACTCACAGGGCTGCTAACAACTGTTTAGAACTCCAATTCCAGGGGATTCAATGTGCTCTTCTGGCCTCTGAGAGCACCAGGCACACATGTGGTACACAGATACAGAAACAGGCAAAACACACATGAAATTAAAAAAACAAACAAACCCCCAGCTATAGCAGCAGGACTCGAGTCAGTCACTGGGCTCAAATCCCAGCTGTTACTTCCTAGCATAGAAAACTGAGTTAGCTCTTTATCTATATACTCATGCTAGTAAGAGGACCTGGCCCTAGGGTTGCTAGTACATCTCAAGTGTACAGAACAGCACTTAGCAAATATCAAGGCTACATAAGTATTACATATTATTACTCCTTTACTGTCAGACTTGAGAAAGCTGTCTATATTCTCTATTGTTTCTTCACTCCTTCCTAATCATCCTTTGCATTTTTCTATCAAAAAGCACAGCATGTATTTCCCGAATTTTCCTTTTGTGGTACTGAGATTTGGACCAAGGTCTGTTGTATGCTAAGTGCTCTACCAAAGCTTTATCCTAAACCCTTTTTATTGTTTGACTTTTATTTTAGTATTTTTTAAAAGATTTAGCCTGGTGGTAGGCTGGGCATAGTGGCGCACACCTTTACTCCCAGCACTTGGGAGGCCAAGGCAGGTGGATCTCTGAGTCTGAGGCCAGCCTGGTCTATAGAGAGTGTTCCAGGACAGCCAGGATTACAGAGAAACTCTGCTCAAAACGAACAAAGGAACAAACAAAAACAAAAACAAAACAAAAAATCCCAGAGATAGATACATTAAAAAAATAAAAATAAAAAGACATTTATTTATGTGTATGAGTATTTGCCTAGAGGTATGTGTACCACAAGCATGCCTGGTGCCCATGGAGGCCAAAAGAGGGCATCAGATCCCCTAACTTGCAGTTACAGACTGTTGTGAGCTGCCATGTGTGTTCTGGGAACCAAATCTAAGTTTTCTACAAGAGCAGACAGTGCTCTTAACTCCTGAGCCATTTCTTCAAGCCCTTTTTATTAAGTTTAAATTACGTTCGTATATCCGTATGTTGGTATGTGAATTTAAGTGCCCATGGAGGCCAGAATATCCCCTGGTTGCTGGAGTTACAGGCAGCTGTTAAGATGCCCAACATGGGTTCTGGGAACCAAACTCAGATCCTCTGCAAAAGTAGTACTCTTTCTTAACCATAGAGCCATCTCTCCAACCACCACTGCTGCTATGTAACCCAGGCAAGAACTTGCATTCTTCCTGCCTCAGCCTTCTGGGATTATACCTCCATGGCCAGCTGCACACAGTTTTACATGTCATTTGGTTCTAGAGCATTTGCCATGACAAAGAACTACTCGTGGAAATACTTTATTTGTTTTTGATTTTTCAAGGCAGGGGTTCTCTGTGTATCCCTGGCTGTCCTGGAACTCACTCTGCAGACCAGGCTGGCCTCGAACTCGGAGATCCTACTGCCCCAGCTTCCCAAAGAACAATTCCTTATACATTTTCACAATGAATGAATATTTTAAATTATCAACACATGGCCAATAGACCTATTTCATGGATTTCTTCCTGGGATTCTCCAGCATGGATCATCCACTTCACCAGTAAGGATTTCTGTATTTCTAAGATGAGGTCTGGAAAGTATTTCAGTTCTTCCTCATCGCCCTTATACCAGACATTGGGGGCCACCCATTTCAAAGACCCTCAGCCTTTAAGACATAGTATAGGTGCAAGCCAGGTGGTGGTGGGGCATACCTTTAATCCTAGCACATGGGAGGCAGAGGCAGGCACATGTCTGAGTTCAAAGCTAGCCTGGTCTACAGAGCAAGTTCCAGGATGGCCAGGGCTACACCAAACCCTGTCTTGCAAATAGATAAACAAATGAAAAGTATGGGTGCTAAACCATGGCCCATGCAGCACCACCTGCCACTCCAGTTCTAGGTCTTCCTTTTCCCCGTAGCCTGTGCTCCAGCCATCCTGACCTATCTGCAGCTACCTGCAGACACCCTGACATACACTGCTCCTGGTGCCCTGGTGTCTCTATTCTCACCCTTCCTTCTGGCTAGCATATATGGCAAAACTCAGGTCAGGGACCAGTTTCCTTGAGCCTGTCTCCCTAGTAGTAGATGAGTGTCTTGGCTGTGCTCTCAAAGCCCCTACATTATCTCTGTCACAGAGCACATGACCTGATACTATCTCTATGCTTGCAGACCACACTTTGTTTCCTACCAGGTCACATGCTTTTCGAGGGAAGTCATTTCTTAGGTCTGAATTTGTAGAACTTAATATTGTGCCAGGTATGAAGCAGGTCCCAGGGATTTGAGAAAATCAATCAAGGTACGCCACTGAAGAAAACAAAGAATTACTCTGCATGGGAAAAGCAGGGCAAGACCCAGGTAGCAGTGATGTATAGAGGGACGAAAAACCTCTAGAACTACTAGTCCAGGGACCTAGGAAGCAGTAATAGCACAGATGTAAGTAGAAGACTCTTGGGCAGTAGGCTAGCTTTTAATAGGTGATAAGGAGTCGAGATGGTATCTGTTAATGCAATGTATTGGTAGAACGGCAGCAGCACACTGTGACTTGGGAATCAACAGATGAACATATTCATCTGTACAGGTGGAGGACAGTCCTGAAATGGTGGTGGGGTGGGTATGGAAGTATACAATGTTATGGAATATCACAGAGCAGAATCTAAAAAGGAGCTCAACCCAAAATGGGAGTACACGGTGGTACGCTACACCCAGTTTTTTGCTCCTCTCATCCCCCACCTTGATCCTTACTTCTGACTTTGGTTTGTTTGGTTTTTGAGACAGGGTCTCTCTATGTAGTCCTGGCTGTCCTGGAACTCACAATGTAGATTAGGCTGGACTCTTTGCTTCCTAAATGCTGGGATTAAAGGCATACAGTACCACCAAGCCTGGCTTACACACAACTTTTAATTCTGTGGACAGGGACCTGGGTGGCAATGCATGTGAGTAAACTGTTTTTTCTAATAGAATTAAATAAGTTAATGCCTAAAATGGACAACTACTTTACTACTTTGAATATCAGCTGGTTGTGCTGTTTTGTTTTGTTTTCCTGGTGTGTGTGTGTGTGTGTGTGTGTGTGTGTGTGTGTGTGTGTGTGTACTTGATCCAAGAAAGAGTCATCTGGGAAGAGGGAACCTCAATTAAGAAAATTTCCCCACCAGACTGGCCCGTGGAGCATTTTCTTGATTGATGATTGATGTGGGCGGGTCCAGTCCATGGAGGAGGACAGTACCATTCTTGGGCAGGTGGTCCTGAGCTGTGTAAGAAACCAGGCTGATTGTAAAACATCAGTAGCGAACTTCTGCCCTCCGGGGTTCTCCCATTGTGCTGTAAGCCTGTATTTAAGACCTCTTTCCTCCTTCAATAAACAGCATTTGGCATTAAAAAAGAAAAAAAAAGAAACCAGGCTGAACAGGCCATGTAGAGCAAGTCCTAAGCAGCATTCCTCCATGGCCTCAACTTCAGTTCCTTCCAGGTTTCTTAATGATGTACTGTGTAATCTACAAGCCTAAATAAACCCTTTCTTTCCCACATCGCTTTTGGTCATGGTGGGCTTTTTGTTTTGTTTTGTTTTGTTTTTTTCGAGACAGGGTTTCTCCATGTAGTTTTGGTGCCTTTCCTGGATCTCGCTCTGTATGCATGCCTTTAATCCCAGCACTCGGGAGGCAGAGCCAGGTCACGGTGTTTTAACAGCACTAGAAACCCTAAGAAAATGGTCATCCTCATATATCACATATTATTACTATTGTCTTCAGCAAGTTTTTTCCCCCCGTTTTAACCTTTCATCCTCTATCCAGAAGACACCAAGCTCTGCTTTTTTCCATAATCTAGTGGAAGCTATGACATCTCTATCCTTCCTATTTATTTCCCGAGGGAGCAGAATATTTAATGGAGGAATTGTGTGTAGGAGGGAGGTGAAGTCAAACAACACAGCAGCTCTGATGAGGGAGGACACAGGGTGGGTGGGTGGGACAAAGAGTTATGGAGTACATCTCAGAAGACACTCATGGTTCTAGAGTTTCAAGTACACAAAGAAAATAGGAACTTTGGACAGGGAGGCCAGAGAGGACAATGGAGCATAGTGGGTCATGGGCAGAGGAAGACAGGGCTAACCTATCTCTAGGGTCAGAACAAGAAGGTTCAAAAGGATGAACTCCAAACTTGTCTCTAGAACTCCAAAAAGGGAGTGTGCTGGGAATACAGCTCAGAAGGAGAGTACTTCCCTCACATGAACAAGATCCTGGGTTTAATTACTATTAGGAGATCGCGGGTGAGGGAGGAAGGAAGGGAAGGAGTCCACACAAACTGAGAGTCTTGGAAGGGTGGAGAACAGTACTTAGCATGTGGGCAGAAATCAGCTGGTATTGTCAGACTGCACACGAGGACAAAGGGCAGGTGAAAGTGGGTATCTCGGGAATCTTAGACAGACTCAGTGGAGAAGAAACTTCGGGCAAGGCTCACTCTCCTCCCAGCCCTGACAGGGATTTCAGAACCAGTGTGAGCTCCTTCCTCCTCACTGACTATCAGTGGAAAGAAATGCCAGCCTGTTTTGTTCTTGAGTTGCTCTGCTCAACATGATAGTCTAGGCATATGAGGTTGCTTAAATTAAAAATTCTCTGTAACTAAATGCAATTAAAGTTCAGTTCCTTGCCTGGCATGGTGGGTGGTACACGCCTTTAATCCCAGCATTTGGGAGGCAGATATAAGTAGATCTCTATGAGTTCAAGGCCAGCCTGGTCTGCAGAGTTCCAGGACAGCCAGGGCTGTTACACAGGGAAACCCTGACTGGGGGAAAAAAAAAAAATTAAAAAAGAAAAAGAAAAAAAAGTTCAGTTCCTTGGTCACAGGAGCCACATTTGAAATGTTTGACAGACTCAACAGCCACATATATCTGGACATCTTCATTATGGTTAAAAGTCCTGATTAACAATGCTCTGAACCCTTTAAGGTCATTTCACTTTTTCTGCTACTGTCTGGATGCTCAGCTCCTTTTGTCTGCCTCCTTTTCTCTTTTTTAAAAACAGGTCTCCCTCTGTAGCCTGGCTGACCTGGAACTCGCTGTATAAACCAAGTAGAACTTGTGTGCTAGGATTACAGACAGTTGTCATCATGCTCAACTTCCCTCTGCCTCTTAAAAAGTTTGCTTCCAGTCTCAGACCTAGAGTTAGGTCTGATCTTGCTTGAAGACTATGGCTTGGCTCTAGGGAATAGGGTCTGTGCTATCTGTGGCTGTAAGGGTTATAAGGCATCAGGATCAATTATGGCTCTCAGGGATGATGTGTTTGGACCATCTCGGATTGGAGGGGAAGGGGTGTCTAGACTATCAACTAACTAGGCTGAGTTGCTCAGTTCTGTACCACGTGAATTTCACTCCTTCCACTACCAAGCCAGCCTTCAGGCTCACACCTCCTGTTCTGTTTTGTTCTATCTGTTGAGACCTGAATGTATTCAGGACAAGAATTTCCCTGGCTTCAGAAGTGGGCAGGATTATTACCACCTGGTGAAGGACTCCACTAGACAGACTCCTGGATCTTTACCTCCCTCTGCATCCCACCCTCCTCCTATCAGAACATCTACCCCTTCTACAGTTCTAGTGACCAACAAGCAATTGCCAGCTGCCTTATAGCCTATGGAAGATGTCAGATTTAAGGGGAAACATTTCTTGGATAATGGGAAGCAAAGGATAACCAAGCTGGAGAGGTCTCTGCCCCTCCAAGTCCACTTGCTCATCTGACAGAAGTGACAGGGAACAGCCCTGGATGGAGTAAGAGTTAAAGGCCCACAATCCCCAAGACAGTGTGTGAGAGCCAGGGGCTTCCCAGAACTACATTCCTGGGGATGTTTTTGCCCTTCCTAAGACAGTGTGATTTTTACAGGAAAACGTGTTCCCTAGGCCCTAGGTCTCCTTCCATGCAAGAGAAACTAGCGTGAGTGGGATATGCTTAGGGAGAAAAGTATTCAACCTCTCTATCGAAGCCTCCATGGAGAAAGGCTGCCCTATCCTCCCAAAGTCCCTCCTTTGGTCATTCCTTCTCCTAGACACCATGCCTCTGGTTTGAACACCTTCAAGGGGCACAGAAAAATAAGGACAGAATTCTGACATCAGTAAGAAGTACAACATTCCTCAATATTCACAAAAAGTAGCAAAATAACTCTGCTTGTCAAAATTTCTTCAGGGAAAAAGATTGTCCCTTGAGGCTAAGGGTAGGAACAACTGGGGAATGTGCACAGAGAGGCTGGGGTATAGCTTAGTGACAGAGTATGTGCTTAGCATGTATGAGGCACTGAGTTCTATCACAAGCACCAAAACAACAAAAACAGTGCAGGAAGAGGGTCACTGAGCAAAAGGTCCGGCTCTAGCTTCCCGTTTCTCTCAGAAGGGTTTCCGCCTCTATGTTCAACATACAACCTCATCCCCTGACTTAGAAGATGTCCTTCACTCCTTCACAGACCTTATAATGGGAAGCCATGGAGGTAAGAGCAGAGGATAGTAGGCAACCCAAGCCCAGGGGACCTATAGTTATGCCTCTATCCCACCGCTAAGAGATAGTATCTGGCTTTCTCTGGAGGAGCTCCAGAACCAAAGTCTCCAATTCTTCTCCTTCATGCTGAGGCCACCCGGCTGGATAGGGCTATTTGGCAAGATCTTAGCCTGAAAGTCAAAGAAGTTCTCTCAGCTCCTGCTGAGGCTCCCAGAGCCTCACTCCCACTCTACTCACTGCCTTCCTAGCCCATTGCTTACAGCTCCTTCTTACTATTAGGAACTCAGGAGAAAGGTCTTGTTAAGCAGCCAGGGGGCCAGCCAACTCAGAAGCAGCAACATGCCCTAAAATGGTCAAAGAAAACTCCACAGGTTTGGCTGCGGCTCAGCTCCTGAAGGAAGGGGGAGAACTGGGCAGGGAGGATGAGTTTAGCATAGCTTCCCCATCCCCCGCCTCCAGCCCTGGGCCTAAGATTAACCCCTTGTGCTGAAGGCTTACCATTCCATAGCACCTCCAGGGAGTGGGGGGACCGAGGGACAGCCTTATTTTCTGTCAGCACAGGGCTGACATAGGAGGCTAAGTAAGGGACAGACGTCCAGATCTGTTCAAGGAGAGTAAGGGACAGCGTTAACAAACGGAGCTTGTTGTAATTACACGCACGCACGCACGCACGCACGCACGCACGCACACCTCAGTAAGGTCTTTAAGGTCTAACTCTCTGGCTTTCCTGTCATCCCACTGTTTTACCCGAGGTTCCTTCTGTGCCCCAAACGCTCCTGAGAACATCAAGTTAAGGAATCAGAAGAAATGGCCATGTCCAGAATGGAAGGAGAGAACCAGAACCACTGACAGCCCAGACTCCATTCAAGCTCTCCTACTCTACTAACAGCTTGGGAACTTCTGCTTTCCACTGATAAGATGGCTATCAGCCAGGATGAGGGCTAAAGCGACCCGGCAATGTGGAGGCATCAGGTAGCCTTCCCTCAGTCTCTATGCAGGGTGTCCTGCTGGCTAACACCTCCTTCACCTTGGCTGCATTGACGAGTCTCCAAGCGTTGAGCAGGCCGAAACCATGCTGGTGGCTGTGGCTGAAGCCAGCCTCATTGGTGAGCCAGTCTGCATGACGATCCTCATACTGAAAGAACAGAGGTCCTGGTGAATCTCTAGCCTTGCCTGACTCCCTTCTCTCCACTCACCGACCAACTGAGCCAGTCCAGACCTTCCCACTGACGTGACTAGAAATGGAGTCCCTCAAAAAAGCTGAGACAAAAGGTCAAAGGCCCATGATCTCACGACCTGAGTGGCTTGCTTCCTGAGAGGGAGCAAGAGAACCAGCTCCCAACTGAGACTGCCCTGTCAGAGCTCATCTTAGGTAAATGGCCTGAGCAGAAGAGGAAGGAGTGAGCTCTGCTCTGTGATACTGATGGAGTCCTCACACCCGTGCTCTACATATCCACCCAATGTTGGAGACATTTGGAGTCTGGAGTCTCCGGATAGTCCAACCCTGGAATGGGGTGGGGCTGGGCACTTGTTAGCTAGTTGCCAACTCTAACCTGGGTGGCTGTGAAGACAATGATGTGCTGGATGTCCCGCCATGTGAGGCAGGGCCGCACCTGCAGCATGAGGGCTATCATGCCAGCTGCCAGAGGAGCTGCAGCTGAGGTCCCTGTGTGGCCTTCCGTGCAGCCAGTGCCCTTCTGAAGGTCCCAGTCAGTGGTCACCTGCAAAGTGCAGTAAGGAGTGGGGAGGGTTAGACACTGGAGGAGGGGAAAGGACAGTCCTCCAAACAGGTGGCCCCGCCCTTTTGAGAGCTGTAACTTTCCCCACGTACAGAGGGCCAGGCATAGGAGACCCTTAATCCTCTGGCTTTTGGGATCTTTAGATGATGAGAACTGGAGTGACTCTAGGGCAACAACCGTAGGAAAAGGAGATGGGGCATGAGAGAAGACGTGGGTACACAAAAGTTTCCTGATTCTTGCTCCTCAAATTCTTTTTTTATTTTTATCACTTCATTCCAAAATTCTCTATCCAACTATCCATAACCCAGCTAGCCAGAGAAAAAAGTGGCCAGAGCTGCTACTGGGCCCTAGCTGGAGCTGGGGCAGACAGTGGTGAGGGCATGTTCCCCAAGAAGGTTACTGCAGCCTTGCTTGAAGCCTGCTGCAGTTTCACTGTCTACATGGCTTCTCGGCCATGCACTGCTAGCCAACTGGTCAACCACAGGACAAGCTGCTTTCCTGCTCTGGTTGGTGTCTTGGTTGGGTTTCCGTGAGTCCCTCTTTCCTACTCATGTTTCTCAGATAAGACATGGAAGTAGGGAAAAAACAGTATCTGTTTGGTCTCAAGTTCTTTTCATGTCCCACCAATAAAAGCACATCAAATGTTTAGCTGAGCAAGACCTGCTTAAACCTGCTCCCCCTCCCCCCTAAAGCCAGTACAGGCTAGAACTTTTTTCTTTCAGTCTTCTTTTCTGGGTCAGATACCAGGATGCCAACTTCCACCAAGAGCTGCCTTTTTCCATCGTATTCCCAGCCTCTTTGCAGCTGTTACAGCAGCTGCCAAGAGATGTAATTTTCACCCAGACACTGTGCACTCTCAAAGGAAAGGGAAGAACATGCCAAATTGTAGTCTCAACGAGAAAGGAAGTCTGGTTGGTGCCAGGGAGCAGATTGATTTTTTCCTGTTAAGGAAACAGCCTCACAGTGATAGTCTAGAGTACAGATGTGAAGTCTGTGAACTTGCCCGTAATGGCAAGAACATCACACAGCACTAGGAAAATCTAGGGAAGCTCCCTGGGCAACAAGCCAGATGGTGGGAAGTCTATTCCCCTGGCCCTTCCCCTCAGAGGCAGAGCTCCATCCAGCTGCCTGGTCACACAAACAGGAGGTTGTCAAAGCAAGGGCATTCCAAAGATGGGAACTTGGCTGAATACACTTACTTTTCAAATCTGGACAAATTATAGTTCAGATGGAAGGTGGGGGTGAGGGTGAGAAACTGAGCTGAGTTGGGAGGGCAAAGCTAGGCTATGCTGAAAAACAATGAAGATTCTGCTACAGCGCCTTCTTAGGTCCCTTGCAGGGGGCAGGACTGGGTGGGTCCCAGAGCTCTGCCAGGTGCTAAAGAGCAGAACAAGTTCCTGTTCTTCCTAACACAGGCTAGTAGCACCCCAGGCTGCCTGTAAGCTTCTTACTTTTCACTTTAGTCTGCTCCCTTCTCTGTTCTCCCTGGAGTGGGGGTCAACTGGCCCATAGCCTTGGAACATTGTGTTGACCAGAAGTCATTTCCTGGCATAACCCTGTGTGAAGATGAAGCTGCTTAATTCCCAATGGCCCCCGAGACCTCCCAACTGGCCACTGGCAAAAGCTGACAGCATCTGGCTCCTGCCCAACTCTGGCCTGGAGTCTTCTATTCTTACTTGACACTGTTAGTGGCAACAGCGACATACAGGGTGCTCTAGGACTGTGATCCAAAGGCCTGATTTATGTAGCTGGGTTGGAGCCCAGCAGAGGTCCCTGAGTCCTTCAAGGGTTATGTGAGCTAGAGAAGCTCCATTCCCCTGTTGCATTCTCAGGCTTTGGCTTTAATCAGAGCTGTAGGGAAGGCTGGGATCACGCTAACACAGGCCAGTTCCAACTTCCTATCCTGTGCATCCTTAAGATAAGTACTGCCTTTATTCTTAAGTTGGACATGGCAGTCAGTATTTATAAAAGGACTGAACAGCACTGTGGTGATGACCTCAGCCCACAAAAAGTAGTAAAAGCCCGAATTCTACCACAAGGATCCCACTACTAAGTTAAAAAGTTTAAGATCAAAACCACTAATGCAGGAAGATCAGGAATTCAAGGTCATCCTCAGCTACATAGTGAATTCAAGGCCAACCTAGGTTATATGAGACCCTATTTCAAAGAACAGGATGGAAAAAAATGTTTTACCAGGTGTACTGTGTCATACCTGTAATCTCAACACGTGGGAGGCCATGGCAGGAAAATGGCTTGTAAATTCAAGACCAATTTGAACCATATTATGAGTTTGGAGCCAGCCTCAGCTACAGAGTGAGCTCGTGTTTTGAACCTCCCCTCCCCCCACCTCATAGATGCCGCAGGGAAACCTTGTAAGAAGGGCCCCCAAAGCGCTCACAATGCTCCGAAGCATCTTGTCTCCACCACTGAAGGTAACTGCCAGCATGGAGGCACATTCCTCTGCATAAAAAGGCATCCGTCCCTCTTCGTCCACAGCACCTGGCACAAAAAAGTAAGATAGGCGCTCACCTAAGGAGTGGATCCTGTGGCTAGCACCTGCTTCTAGAGTTGCCTTCATCGTGAAGGGATGGGGTTGTCCTGAGTTGAAAGAACAACAGTAGTTATCTGCATGTGGACAGGTAGCCTCAAATGGCAGAGGGAATTCTTACGCTATACCACTCTTCCCATAGGCTTCAGGCAAAATCAATGGCCTTCCATCTCTGTACTTAGTCACTTGTTTTCAATATTTACTCAGATCTACTGTGAGTCACACATATTAGGCATTAGAGCCATGTGGAAAAAGCCACATCCTGGAAGGGGTAGGAAGGAGGTAGTATGCAGTGGTAGAGAGGGGTGGGGACACTCCCTTATGACCTAGAGACTCACTGCTAGGCTGATGCCAAGGAGCCTACTGTTAGGTAGGAAGTCAAGTAAGCAAATAATAATTAACATGGAATGACAAACTCTATGACTGGGAGCGCAGGCCAAGAGTCCTTCACTCAGGTGAAAGGGCAGGCAGAGCCAGCTTCAAGCCAGTGGCCATGGAAAGAGACCAGAGGGGAGGTCAAACCCATCACAATGGTAGTGGAGACAGGTGGGTGATTTCTGGGGAATGGTTGAACATGTCCCAGAGAAGCTCTGAAAGCCTGCAGGAGCTGGGCTAGTTCTACCTGATCTCCAAGAAAAGATCATGGTTACACATTTAGATAAAGAGTGAAGCGAGATGCAAAAACCACCCACTGGCCCCATTCCCACGACGTCTCTAGACCACTACCTATTGTGACAGTGTAGATGGAGTTGGCATAGCCATCGTAGTTGCAGTTGTCATTGTGCTGGCCCCCGTTACCACTGGCAACCACAAAGATACTCCCAAAGCCCTGGCGACCAGCCATCACTCCATGTTGTAAGGCGGCCTGAAGAACAAAAATGTCAGGCTATTAGTCAAAGAACTGTACCTATTGGACCAATCACTCTTCTCCTCCCACTTCTGGGAAAAGAAAAATGGAAAGGGCACTGGGCAAGGGAGAAGGAGATTTAGATGCAGACATAAGGTGGGAGAAAGCTAGAAGTTAAATAGTGTTTGACAGATATTCAGATAGATTCTGCTTATCAGATGACAGAGCAGGGTGAGGAACAGAAACCCAGAATGAGATCCAAGAGAAACAAGCTGGAAACATTCCTTTCTCTGAGAACCAGTGTTCTACTGGCCCCATCCTGAGCAAGGCACACACTCTTTCTTTTTTTTTTGGTTTTTCGAGACAGGGTTTCTCTGTGTAGCTTTGCACCTTTCCTGGGACTCACTTGGTAGCCCAGGCTGGCCTCGAATTCACAGAGATCTGCCTGGCTCTGCCTCCCAAGTGCTGGGATTAAAGGCGTGCGCCACCACCGCCCGGCTCACATACTCTTTCTTGAAAGGATGGATGGCATGGCTATGCTAAATGGTGTAATGTGGGCACTAAAATGAGTGTGGGCTGGGAAGAGGTTTGACTGGTGCTTCTTCTAGAACTGAATGAAGAAGATTTCAAGTTTCCCAGACTTCATGCATCTCAGTTACCTTTCCAAGCTGGTGAGGACCATCCACTGTCTTCCCGTCATCATCTGGGCCCCAGCTGTTGAAACAGGCAAAGGGGAGAGTGGAACTAAGTTGGGGCTACCCAACTGGGGTCTCCCTTTTTACCAAGCCACTCCTCTGCCTGCAGCTTTCACTCTTCTCTCAAGGAACCGCATGATTAAAAGACACATGGGGTCAAAGGTCCATTTTCCTCCAAAGGGAAAATGAAAGTGTATGCTAAGGTTCTTCTTTTATTTGGAATGTCCCCAACTTAGGAATGACTTTATCCTGTTTACCCTTCCTCAGGTCCCAGGAATCAGGATACACAATGGAATAGGGACAGTGTCACTGCTGGGATCTACAGATCTACTACTAGGCTAGATGAGAGACATTCATATTGCATACATTTTAAAATATTTTTATTAATTAAATTTTATTTTATGTGTGAGTGTTTTGCCTGAATGTACAAGAACAACATGTATAGAGTGCCCGAGGAGGCCAGGTGTCAGATACCTTCAAGCTGGAGTGACAGAGGGTTGTGTGCCACCATGTGGATGTTGGGAACCAAAACCAGGTCCTCAGCAAGAGCATCAAGTGCTCTTAGTCACCAAGCCATCTCTCCAGCTCCAAGTCCGTCCCCCGTCCCGTCCCCCCGCCCCCGTCTTCCCCACATTGGTTGTTGTTGAGACAGGGTCTGTCTATATAGTCCTGGCTGTCCTAGAACTCACGTAGAACAGACTGGCTCAAATTCAGAGATCCACCTGCCTCTGCTTCCTGAGTGCTGGAATTAAAGGTGTGTGCTACTATGCCTGGCAAGTTCTTGGTTCTTAAGTTGAGTAGGCCTATGAGATGCTTTAGCAGTAAAGGCTTGCTGTGCAAGCCTAGTGGCTAAGCTGGATCCCTGGAGCCATATAAACGCAGGAGAAAACTGTCTACACAAAGTAGTCCTCTGACCATGGCACATACAACACCTCCCCACTAATAATAAACTAAACTTAAAAAGAATTTAAGAAAGGTACTAGTTAGGGCTCTATCAATACAAATGGGGGCCACCCACCCTAAATTCCTCTTATCCAGCCACTCGACCCACAGTCCTAAGCTTCCAGTGCAGTTTTGAAGGGTGGCACTGAGATTCAGTCTACTCTCTTCCAAGAGCCTTGTGAGTGTAGACAATACAGGCATGCTGGGCACTCTGTGTAGCAAGCTGACTACTAGAGTGACAGGGGTTGAAGACTGAGCACCCAGGGGCTGGGGAATCTAGGTAAATGAGGAAAACAGCCTTATCAGCTGAGTAGGCCGGAGGCAGCCTGTTTTGCTATGCTTTTGTTGAAGACCTGTCCCAGACCCTCCAGGCTCTCACCCTCTCACCTGCAGCTCTCCTTACCTGCAGCTGTAGATGTCATTGATCTGATAGTGCTTGTTGAATGCCACAGCCTCCATACTGTCTGTGAGTGGTCCATCCAGCACCCGGATACCTAGGCATTGAAGGTACACCAGCTCCTCACTGATGCTTGTCCCACAGGAAACTACAAACAGTGCACATTCCCCAGGGGGGCCAGGTGGCAGGGAGGTACGTGTGGAAGACTTACTTTTTCCTATATACTCTTTTGTACTTTTGTGTGTGCATATGTTTCATGACTATACAACACATGGGGGTGTGAACGCATTAGTGTGCATATGTACGTATATGTGTGTGTGTGGAGGTAAAAGGTTTATCTAGGTATCATTCTCAGAACCCTTGCTGTTTTTGACACAGGGTCTCTCACTGGGACCCAGGGCTTGCCAATTAAGTTAGGCTGGCTGGCCAGTGAGTCCTGGGAATTCATCTGTCTTTGTCTTCCCAGTGCTGGAATTACAAAAGCACCCAATCGTTTCCAGCTTTTTACACAGGTGCCAGGGATCGAACTCAGGTCCTCATGCTTGCATGACAAGCACTTTATAGAGCTACACACCCACCCCTCTTTTGTAGTTTGGATTCTTACATGATATACATATATTACTAGTTCAAAAAAAATTTTTTTTTAAAGACAGGATATCAGAAAGCACAGGTTTGCCTTAAACTTACTACATAGCAGAGGATGAACCCCTAAACCTCCCGCCTTGACTTCCCAAATTCTGGGATTTTGAACAGGTAGGTATATACCGCCATGCCTAGCTTTCAAAAGTGTCTTTTACTATCATGTTTGAACTCAGATCTAATGATCCTGAGAGGTGGGAAGCACTACGCTAGAATGTAGGTAATCCAAGATTTCCCCTTAGCTTGGCATTTCATATAAAACACCTATTGTGCTCGACACAATACAGAAATTCAGTGAATAGCACTCATTATCTTTGCTACCCCCAGGGATGCTCAAGTTCTCCCTCTAAAATGGAGTGGGCCACAGTGTGGTGACAAGTTAAGGACAAATGGGAATACAGAAGGGGCTTGGACCCTGAAGGTTTCTAGCCTCTTCTGTAGTCTCATTTGCAGAGTGCTGTGGCCCCCTGCTGGGGAACATGAGAGTTACAGGCAGTCTTCTGAGGCTGTAGGCTCCCAGGCTTTAGTCAGGATTCAGGGGCAGTGCTCATCCTTTCCCCTTGATTCACAAGACTGAGAGATGAAAGAACACAGAACTACCTCAGCTGGAGACTAGGTTCTCTTGAGAGAATGGAGAGCAGGGGACTGGAGAGGTGGGACTGAGAGAGCCGCCTCCATAGATGAGTCATGGAAGGCGGCAAACTGATGAGAAGGCATTTCATAGACTAGGAAAACACTAGCAGAGCATGGTTAAGTTGAAGGAGTTGTTACAGTGATGTGGGTCACTGGTGAGTTCAGCCATGATCAAAAACGGGAAGGAGACTTGAGCAGGTGCAGCTTGGGACCTCCAGCCCACAACACGAGCATTTCCACATTTACCTGTTTTATACTGTAAAATAAATACTCTTGCTAAAAAGCCCATTTGAAATACCACAGCCAGTCGGCAGTAGTGGCGCACGCCTTTAATCCCAGCACTTGGGAGGCAGAGGCAGGTGGATCTTTTTGAGTTCGAGGCCAGCCTGGTCTACAAAGACAGTTCCAGGACAGCCAGGGTTACACAGAGAAACCATGTCTGGGCGGGGGAGGGGAATACCACAGCCATGAAAAATCAATGAATTAATTAACTTGTTATGCTCTTATGCCTTATTCTAGGTTACAGACATTGAGGATGAGAAAAAGAAATTTCAGAATGGAGAAGAGGGTAGAGAATGAGCATTGTGTCCCAGGAGCTTCCCAAAGACAGGGGAAGCATGAGTTACCTGCTATTCGGCTCCCATAGGCCACACCCACTGCACAGAAGCTGTTGTTGGGCACAGCTGCAATTTCTCCTGCACACCGGGTCCCATGGTGGTTACCATTCTCCGCATCAGGGTGGGGCATAGGATCTGGGTCATTAGAGTTGAGGTCATAGCTACCCTCTGGGCTCTGAAACATTGAGGGGTCAACAAGTGGTCACTTACTGGTTAGAATGGGTCAGTTACTATCAGGAACTGTCAGGGAGAACAAGGAACTGGGAGTTTCCACCTCTAAGTCAGAGTTAGCAAGTCCATCACCTTGAGCAAACAAGGGTTGTAAGATATGAGTCAAGGACACTGGGGGAAAAAGTGAGAAGGGCCAAGGCTTGCCAGTATAGGACTGTGCCCACTGCTGGGGGAAACCCGTGATAAAAGAGATTTCAGATTCTCTGAAGACACACCTTAGCCAGAAGTTTTCAGAACCTCTGAAGAGAAAGTAGGTGCCTATAAGGCCACTCCCTGCTCCCCAGGGAAGGAGCAGCAACAGGAAGCAGGAAGCATTGCCTGGAATTGCTCTTCTATACTAAGGTCACCTCTGGCCTTAACTGCCAGTGTGGAAAGCAGACTGAGAAAGGAGAGTGGACAGCACTATCCCCCTCCCAGGCTGTTTGGCTTGGCTCACCCCTTCTAGGGAAGGGGACAAAAGGGAGGCAACACCAAAGAGAAGGAGCAACGTGGCAGCAAGGGGTCATTCCAGGCCACTCACATAGTTGGGTGCAATGTCCTGGACGGTGTGCTCCACTCCATCGTCCACCACCACCACTGTCACCCCTCGCCCAGTTACATTTCGCTCCCACACACCTGTCACATTGATGTCTCGGCCTGGGCTCCGTCGATTGTTCTGTAGGAGACAGAGAGACCCAGGGACACACAGCTCGGCCCAGAGGGACAAGTTAAAGCTAGCCCTTCCTTTGGCTTCTACCAAAGAGCCAAACAGAGGCTATAGATCAAGAGGTTAGTGGGGAACAGAGCCCAGAATGGACAGTAGAGTCCTGCCCCTCCATTCCTTGGTCTCCAAGAAGGTTTGCCACCATTTGTGGGTGACTCGGGGTGAAATGGCTGCTAGGGCTAAGTGGTAATTAGTACACAATAAGGTTAGCAGCTAGCCTATACATAACAGGGTCTACCATGTGTAAAACACCTTTTCTAAGTGCTTCACATCTACTCATTTTAACGGTAACTCTCTGAGGTACACTTTATAGGGGTGCACAGAGAGGTGAAGCAGCTCGGCCAAAGGCACACGCTGGAAAGTAGAGGCTAAAATAGAACCCCAGATCCAGGTCCACAGAGAGTGCATACACCCTCAGCGCTGCACTTGCTCTGCACAGCGGACAGGGAGGGTATGGACTAAGAGCAAACTTGACTCCCAGCCCACAGACACGTCCCAGCCCTCAGTCAAAGCAGAGGGCAGCAGGAGAAAGCGTCAGTCAAAGCACACTAGAACAGACCATCTATCTGACTGCACTTACCAGGTGCCACTGCTGCGGATACTTGGGATCATTGAAGTGGATGCTGCGCTTGGCCCGCCTCAGCAGCCTCTGCTCTGAATGCCAGCGCACAGCTGCGTGCCTGGCTAACACAGCCTCTGCCTGCTGTCGCATGGCCTCCACCTCCATGGCTTGCCTGTGCCCAGCGGGCTGGACAAAGAGGTAGTGCCCCTGAAGCTCTCCAATGCGCCCAGCATTCACCAGGCCTGCTGCCCGGGCCACGGCATCTGCCTGCTGCGTCAGACTCTCTTCCTTCCTCTCTCCTTCTAGGTTGTCCAGATGTACGGCCCAGCTTAGCCCCCCTGCACCCAAGGTGTCAAGCCCACCTGCCTCTGACAGGCCCATGACCCAGGGAACCATAAAGAAGAGCCCGGCTAATTCCAGCCAGAGGCAGATGGGCAGGCCCAGGGGGGCATCCAAGTGTGGGACTTTCTGCCTCCCTTTCGGCATCAGAACAGCAGGCTGCAGACAAAGGGAAAGGACATCAGCAAAGAAAGAGGCAGAAACTGCAGGAATCTCAGGAGTGACTGTGGTCTGTCAGTGTGTTCCCCTTGGAAAGCCCAACCCTCTTCCTTCAAGTGATTAGTCGTTTGATATTCATATTCTCTCCCTCTCCCACCAACTACATTTGCCTCTAATCAAAATGCTAACCCCAAGCTGGAGTACGAGCCAGGGGATGACCTCCCACGGCACAACGGACCATCCCTGCTAGCCTGGCATCATCCAGGTGCTCATGGGCTTCAGGCTGTTCACTCAGGGCATTCAAAGTACACATCACTCCCGTGACCAACAGCATCAAGAGCTCACCTCCCTCTTTTCTGACAGGATCTCACCATGTAGCTCTGGCTGTCCTGAAATTCACCATGTAGACCAGGCTGGCCTCAAACTCACAGAGAGCTGCCTGCCTCTGCCTGGGACTACAGGTGTGTGCCACCACACCCAGCTCCACCTCCTTCTTATTTAGAGACCACATAAGTCTTTTCCCCAGCTGACTTTTGACTCCCACCATGGGGCCCCATTCCTACCTGGGCTCTCTGCGAAGTTTAGGTCTTGGTCTGGGTAACCACGTCACATTCATTTTGTGAAACTGGAGGAAAGGTGTCACCTTCACTGTGAGCAGTGTTGACTGGGAACACAAGCTGCAGACCTGTGGGCCCCAAGAACGGGGGAGAAAAGGTGTCCCACCAAAGCCAGCAAAGGACGAGCTATAGTGAAGGCCAGGACTGACCGGTGACCGAATGTTAAGTATCCTTTCCAGGGGTGTGAGTCACGGACTGGAAGGGATCCGTCACAACAAGGCCACATCAGTACAAAGCCCCGCTATCCCCCTTCTTGACCTGGCATGTCGTTCTCTTCTCAGTCGCTTCTCTAAAAGCTTAGCAGGACTTAAACGCTAGCATCCTGTTACCGGGAAACTGGCAGTCGGGGCCCCAGCAGCCCAGGTGGGGAAGGAGGGAGAAAGCGGAGGATAAAACTCAACAGGCGGAAATGCACGTGTGGAAATGACTGGCAAGAAGGGCTGGAGAGCTGTCCCTGTCTCACCAGGGTGGCTTTTCAGTGAGCGCACATGCTCCACCCTGACTTCAACCACTCAGAGGAGTGAGCAACTGTGGGTTTAAGGAACAAAGCCCGTGTGGGCGCCTGAGCTCCCTGAGGAGGCCCTGCTGCCTACTGAGCCCACCCTGGAGCGGTCTCAGTACCCAGACACACACGAGATGGGGCCAACTTAAAACATTCTAGAAAAGGTATTCTGTCCTACCAAAGACTCCTTGGAAAGGGAGAGAAATTATGTCGCCAAGCATCCCTATTCCCAAATTTTCCATTAATGGAGCTTATTCCTCTCCCTTGATTTTCTGTTTTTGTTTTTGGTTTTTTTTGGTTTTTTTTTTTGTTTGTTTTTTGTTTTTTTTTTCGAGACAGGGTTTCTCTGTGTAGCTTTGCGCCTTTCCTGGAACTCACTTGGTAGCCCAGGCTGGCCTCGAACTCACAGAGATCCGCCTGGCTCTTTTTTTTTTAAACAGGGTTTCTTTATATAAATGGCTGAGAACTCATGATCCTCTTGCCTCTATCTCTTTACTGCTGTGATTACATGTGTGGGACACCATGCCCTTAAGTTCTCGGGCATACTCCCTCTTACATTCCTCCCTGCCCCTGAGTTGCTTCGATTCTCCTAGGCTATCCAGGTGTCTTCCCTAGTCTGCATGTAAGAAAATCCAGAATCTGGTTAGGTAGCAGTCATTCACCCAGGCAGGCTCCTGCAGTCTGTGTAGGTTCCACTACAGATTTCTGGAAGAGAACCCGAGCTTTCCTGTCGCCCTGGGGCACAGCAGCACTTACTCTCGAGGTTTCCGGGCAAGAAATCTTAAGTACTTTCCGAGAGCAGGCCCCCATCCCCTCAACTGCTAGACCCATCAAAACAGCATTTAGTTCTCAAGGGAGAAGGGCCTCTCCCCTGTTCAAGATTCTGCTCTTCAGCCGCTATCCTTCAAGCTCAAAGGAACCAGGTCAAGCCCAGAACCTCAGTCTCACTGGCGGCCCCTCCCAGCGGCCGCGGGTCCCGTGCAATGCGCCCCCTCTCATTAAGACCGATGCTACCCGGAACCTAAGACCCGGAGGCCCGGTCCCGCTGGGGTCGCCCACGCCAGGTCCCAAGGTGCCCTCAGCGCAGCTCCTCCTCGGCATGTGCCGACCGCTCCAGCCCAGGACCACGCGGATTTCCGAGGTCCAGCCCGCTACACCTACTCCCCAACTCACCCACAGCAGCCTCCTCCTCCTCCTCCTCCGCCGCCGCCGCCGCCTCCCTGCGGAAACTCGCGGCTTCCCGGGAGCCGGAGGAGCCACTGACAGCAACATCACTTCCGCCTGGCGCCGCAGCCAATCAGCGCCTGGGCCTGCGACCTGTCGCCCCGCCGCGCGCCGAGCACCGGGCGCTCGGCCGACGCCCCGCCGACGGCTTCCGCCACGGGCTCGTGCGGGCTGGGCGGGCTTCGGCGCCCGGTGTCCTCCAGCCCCAGAGGGCCCTCGTCCTTCATGGCGTCCTCTGAAAGGACCATGTCGGTTCCGACCTCTAAACACCCCTCGTGGCTCTTCTCCCTCGGACTGCCATGGCCTTGACTCTCCCCCGTCACCTCCTCAGAGCGGCGTCCGCCTCCACCGGGTCGCCGGCTCGCTGGCCCGCGTCCCCTCGGGCTCCGCGGGGTCTCCGGGTTCTCCCGCCGCGGCCCCGTGGCCCGGGCGCTGCCCGGGGCTGCCGCCAGAGGGCGCCGTCGGCGGCGGCGCGCCCTCCGCGGGGCCGCTCCTCTCGCCGCCCCGGCCTCGCCCCCTGCGCTCGCGCCGCCGGAAGTGGGAGGTGCCGCGCGCGCGGGCCGGCGCTCGCCCCCTCCCCCAGGCTCGGCCGCCCCCTCCCCCCCTCTCCGCCCGCTCAGGTGCGTCCCTTCCCTCCCCCCCCCCCCCCCCGCCTTGGCTCCCCGGGGGCGCGGCGCGGGAGGTGTGTGCGGGGCGGCGCGCGGGCCGGGGCGGCGGGCCGAGGGGGCGCGGCGGGGGGCGGGGAGGGGGCGGCGGGGACGGGGGCGGGAGCCGGGCCTGGGAGTGGGACGGGGGCTGGCGGCCGGGGAGGACCGAGGGCCAGGGGTGGAGGTGCGGCTGGCCGGTGCTTAGCGGCCAGCGTAGCGGCCGTCTCCTGGGAAGAGTGGCGGCGACCACCCGGCGCGGCTTCCCCCCATTGTCCCCTTCTGCGTCGCCGCCTGGCTGGTGACCGCCACCGGCTTGCAGGGTTCCTTCCCCTGGGTATCCTGGACTCTGCAGCCAGATGTGCGACCCCCACCCCTCTCGCTTGGGGCTTTAGCCGCTGAGTTTCACGGATGACCCTTGCCTTAAGGTTTTCCTTTACCGGACACCGGTGACCCAGACCTTGTTCCCTGTTGGAGGCAATGATCCCGACCCTGTTGGAGGCAGAATGTTTGCATCCGAGACAGCAATGGCGTTTCAGGGCCCATTTTCACCCAGGAGCTTTTTATTATGAGAGGAAACTGAGGCACTGGGCTGTGACTGTTGATTCAGCCTGACTCGGTATCTGCTCTTATGCACTCTTCTGGGTTCAGAGGTATTCCTGTGGTACTGTCAAAATAAAAACAGGAATGTGAACTAATCCTGCCTTCACCACCTAGTTTTTCTTCTCACAGTAGAAGGCCGAGTTTATTCTGCAGCAAAAAGGGCGCTCTTAAATATAAAAATAAAAAAGCGTCTTCCCGGGTTCCCTTACTTGAGTTACCATGGTTTTCAGCATCTCCTTTTCCTCTGGAGTAACCAAGTAGCAACCTGTTTTGCCACAATGGTAACTTGCTAATCTGTCCTTGGCAGATATCAGACTCTTCCCATCTATAGGGAAGGGATACTGATGGGGTAAAAGACAACCCCATGGAGATGGTCCAGTATGGTAGGACTTGTTCTTGGAAACAACTCCCAAAAAAATCCTTCTCTTAAATTAATAGAGAATGCTCTGATTGCAACAGCCAAAAAGTGATTTGTAAACATATTATTGATTCTGGGCCAAAAAGGTCATGTTTTATAAATGGTAATAGACAAGGAGGACCATTTGGAAAATTCGTATCATATTTTCATCTATTTTAAATGACAGTATTTCTGTCAAGAGAGAAAGTAAAAGCTTTGTATTGACTCCTAGATATTTATGTACATATGACAGCTCCTGAGGGTTGGTACTGGCTGGGACATATGGCATGAAGTGGCTTTTTAAATTTTTTTTTTTTAGTGCCCTCCTGCAGAATACTCTTTCTTGGGTGTTTTTTTCAGAGCCTTGGTTCTTGGTGTTTGGAGGAACTGATACAGCGGGCATTTTGCAGAAGAAAGTCCTCAACTTTGTAACTTGTACCCTGTCCTTTGTTTCTGAACGTCCAGAGTGCAGATGGCGGCCCCTGAGGTAGCTGGCCTTGGGGCCAGTGCCCCCAGTCCTTCGGAATCCTCTACTTTATGTGCTTCCAAGTCAGATGAAGCTCTCCCAGATGGCCTAAGGTAACGTGCAATTCTTGGGGCTTATTTGGGTAAGGGGCTTGGAGATAGCCTTCTGAACAGCTAGTCTTTCCTGCTTGGTGCTCTCTCTAATAACACTAATGCAGATTAAGTTGTTTTCCCCTCCCCCACATTAATTTTTTGTAAAGTAGGGACTGCTTGGTCTTTGTATGGTATAGCAACTGGCACTTGGGCAGGCGTGCTGGGTTAGAACAGGTATCAACACATCGTAAATGCATCTATTTCTTTGACTTGTCCTATACAGACTGTATGTTCCTTTAATCATTCTTGTGTATCATGCTTTTTTTCTTTGTTCTTTTTTTAGACAAGGTCTCACTTTGTAGCCCTGGCTGGCCTGGAATTCACTATGTAGACCAGTTTCACCTCAAACTCAGAGCAAATCCACCTGCCTCTGCTTCCTTAGTACTGGGATTAAAGGGATGCACCACTTTGTGTGGCCATATTCATGTTTTAAAAAATTATCATTTATCCTGTATTATGCATGATGGGGATGAGGGAGGTGTGTGTACATTTGGAGGTCAGAGGACAGCTTTGTGGAGTTGGTTCTTTCTTATTATTCTGTGGGTTCCAGGGAGCAAACTCAGGATACCAGGCTTTTGTGGACAGCACCTTTACCTGCTGAGCCATTCTGTCAGCCCTCATACTCACTTATAAGATACTTAGTTATATAGAAGATATATACAGATATATATGTGCAAAATTTAAACATTAAACACAGATTATATGTGTTCTCTATCCATCTTGATACCTTTGTTAATATATCTTACTACTTTAATGCTGAATGTATATATTATGCCTCTTATTAAAATGTATTATTCTTTTTCCCCCCACCCAAATTTGTTTTTTATTATATTAAGGTTTTTTTGGGGGGACGTGGGAGGATCTCACGATGTAGCTCTGGCTGACCTGGAGCTGGCTGTGTAGGCCAGGCTGACCTTGAACTCAGAGTTCATCTGATTCTGTCTCCCAGGTGTTTAAATTTAGTGTTTATGTGTGACAGACATGCCATAGTTTTCCTGTGAAGATCAGGAAAATCTGCCAGGATTGGTGCTCTTCTTTCACTTGGGTCCAGGGGAATCCAAGTCAGGTTAGGCTTGGTAGGATGATGTCTTCACACACTGAGCCATTTCACTGACCTCAAAACTCTTTGTTGTTTGTTTTTTGAGGCAGGGTCTCCTATAGCTCAGGCTGACCTCCAACTCACTGTGTAGCCAAGTCTAATCTTCTTGTCTTTACCTCCCAATTGTGTGGCCAGCACACTCAGCTCTCCTCCAGAGTCTTGCAAGCGTGAGTTGTGATTACCTAACCTTGTCTCCTGAGAATGCCTAATACACTGTTGTGTGCAATATTGAACTAAATTGACTAGAGAAGCTGGGGCCTAATGCAATAGGTGACACTCTATGTACATTAACACATTCAACCCTCATACAAGACCCAGAAGGCAGGTGTTAATATTCCTATAACAGGTGAGGAGACTGAGACCCAGAGAGGTTAGTGACTTGCCAAAGGTACAAAACTCTGCTAGAGTCAGAATTTGAACTCATGAACTCCGACTTAAGAGTACTCAATAAATATCTGTTCTTGAAAAGAGATATTTGAACCAATAGGATGGCACATACCTGTAGTAAGAGATGCTTGTTAATGAATGAGTAATAGGGGAATGTTATATTAGCCCACAATAAACTTGGATCTTTCTGCTTGTATTAATTTTCTAAATAAAAGCAGCCATGTCTTTCTTACTACTAGTAGTAATAGCAGCCAAAGGTTATTGAGTGATCTCTGTTAGGTGGACAATGCTATTTCTATTTTAGAAATGAGGTAACTTGTGTAGAGGCAAACAGCTAGGAAACTGTAGAGTTTGGATTTCAATCCAGGTGCTGTATCTGCCCAGGTTTAGAATTAAGTTCCCTGCCCCTGTTCCACAGTTGGCTCTCAAGAATCACTGAGTGTTTGCTGGGGCAGGGAAAGGCATTTTCTTCAGTTGCCTTGCCCCTCCTGCAAAGAACCCTTCATCCATACCCATGTATTAACCCTAGTTAAACTTATTGGTCCACTAAGAAAACTGATAAAAATTAGCCAGGCTGTGGTGGTGCATGCTTTTAATCGAAGCACTCAGGAGGCAGAGACAGGTGAATCTCTTGAGTTCGAGGCCAGCCTGGTCTACCAAGCGAGTTCCGGGACAGCCAGGGATGCACAGAGAAACCCCATCTTAAAAAACAAAACACAAAACGAAAATTTAAAAAAAATTATTGAGTGTGTTTGTGAAGATTTCTGTGTCAGTCAGTTGTTTGGAGGGAAGAGTTCTTTACCTGAAGTCCATGTCAATGCTAGCTTGGGATGTTTAAAGGGTGAGCTGACAGTTACACACAGTACAGAGGAGGAGGGAAAACAGCAGAGACATTGGACATAGACTTTTTTTAATTTTGGTTTTTTGTTTTTTTGTTTTTGTTTTTTTTTTTTGAGATAGGGTTTCTCTATGTAGTCCTGGCTGTCTTGGAACTCACTCTGTAGACCAGGCTGGCCTTGAACTCAGAGATACACCTGCCTCTGCCTCCTGAACACTGGGATTAAAGGCGTGTATCATGCTCAGCTAATTTATTTATTTTTATTTTATGTGCATTGGTGTTTTGCTATGGGTGGATCTCTTGGAACTAGAGTTACAGATAGTTATGCACTGACATGTGGGTGCTGGGAATTGAACCTGGGTCCTCTGGAAGAGCAGCCAGTGCTCTTAACTGCTGAGCCATCCCTCAGCCCCTAACGTGATGTAGACTTCACTTCTGAGTGAAAGACTGGCTGTGAATGTTAGATGGCACTGTGAGTAGGTTTTACGGATCTCTGAAAAAAGTCCTGTATTGACCAGGTGTGATGGTGCACACCTTTAATCTCAGCACTCAAGAGGCAGAGGCAGGTGAATCACTAAGAGTTCAAGACCATGCCGGGCGGTGGTGGCGCACGCCTTTAATCCCAGCACTCGGGAGGCAGAGCCAGGCGGATCTCTGTGAGTTCGAGGCCAGCCTGGACTACCAAGTGAGTTCCAGGAAAGGCGCAAAGCTACACAGAGAAACCCTGTCTCGAAAAACCAAAAAAAAAAAAAAAAAAAAAAGAGTTCAAGACCAGTC